TATATATATATATATATATATATATATATATATATATATATATATATTTACAAATTAAATTAAATAAATATTTTATGTAAAAGTATTTTTTCTTGTTCTTTGTGTAGCAAATACTTTTAAGTAATGCTCGACTTAGAAAAATTAAAGAAGGGGGACTCTATTTACTTTAAAAAAAAGAGCGTTCCCAAAACTCGTTAAGCGTTATAATTATAACATAATAATAGTAGGGGGACGCTAACATTTCTGAAAATTAGTTGAGGTACTCCGTCCCCCTTCAAGTCGAGCACTGCTTTAAGGTTTTATTTTAAATACAGTGATAAGAAAATATATCCTCATTCTCCATATTTTATTCCACTACAAAAAAAAAAAAAATCACAAATTTGTTTTGCACTTTCGGGTCATTGAAAAAAATATCGATTTATGCTTTCGGGTTTCATCGCTCTAGGCAGTCTTGGTTATTGGGTATTACAAAAAATTATTAATTAAAACTTTTTCTAATTTTTTTACATTTTTTTCTTTTAAAATTGAATATCAATATTTTTTGGGAAAAAATCATCCTCTTCCCTACGGTATGTCACGGGGCTGAAATTTAGATATTGTGGCCTTACAAAATATTTTTTTTGCCCAACTACATTTCTAGAATTTCGGCGCCTCTGGGAACCCTCATTTTGATGCGACAGCTAGTCTGCTTCCATCAACTAAGTCCAATCTCAGCAGCATAGTTTTTTTCTGTCAGTCCAGTTTTCCTTACAAGCTTATACCGTCTTTCTTAGTAAATTACAATAAACTAAACATTAATTTATTGACAATATAACAACGAATATTATTCATTAAAAGGTAAAATGTCGTTAATAGCGACGCGCAAGCTTATTTTTGATTTATTATACTTTTTTCCGCTGGTTTTTAATTTCAAATTCTATTTTACAAGTGTAATAAATTATGAAAAATGAATCATTCAATTGTTTCCTAAAATCTTTTATTCCACGATTTTAAATAACATAATACGTCAATGGTGCTTTCAAACGAATATTAAGTTAATATAAATGTAGGACGGTGAATTTCAAAAAAATATGATATACAGCAGTAGTATTGTAATATCGGATATCCCTAGGACAGTTTCCGGCTTAAATCGTGTACTGGTATACGTTCTAAAATTTTTGGTAAGTCCTTATCTCCTCTGGTATTGATAAGATATGATGATATAGGTGTGCGCGTGCGGACCGTGGGACTACAGGTGCAATGATCCGTTCGTGAACTACAGCTGCAGTGATCCGCGCTCGTTCCGAGGCCGCCGTGAACGAGAGCGAGATAGTCGTAAACAGTGATAAGTGCGCAACTAACGTTTACAACGGCGGCGGGTGATAACGCGCGCGAGCGCAATCTCGAGAAAATGACGACAAACCGTCGCCGACCGGACTCTCGGTGGTAAGGGGACGTCGACGGTAAACGTTACGTGCGTCGCTGTTTTTTTCCGCCGAAGCCGTATTCTTCGTAATCCGCCCGGAACGCGTTTTCGATTCGACTTCCCGGTTCGAGCGCGCGCGTTCCCCTCGTCTCGCTCTGTTACGACGTTCGTCCGCCAATGTGGGCCGAACGGTGCGACGTTAATGGCGTGTCCGCACTCGGCCGGCGCTCCTCGCGTTGAACACCGACTCGCCGCGTAGGCGTGTGGGCCACGCACGGTACCGTGTTATTACGTTTCCCCCGCACTCGCAAACTATTGCCGTTATTCATTATTTTCTCGCGGTTCGTTTCCTCTCACCCCTCTTCCACTTCGAACCCGCCATGTCCGTCACCATTCAGCAAATACTGTCGGACGCCAAGCGGTTGGCTTCGAAGCTTAAAGAACACGACACGGCGGCCGACGCGTTGCTGTCCCAGGCGCAATTCGCCTACAAGAAAATCGACGCCATGAAGCAGGTGAGACCGACCTCTGACAACGTTGCCTCCGGGCACACCGCCTTTTTTAATTTTCCGCGCGTTGACTGACTCGTTTACACTTTTTATTGTCGGATCCAGTACACTGTCGATCTGTCCGAACTCAATGACATGGAAGAAGGTGGTCTTCCCCACGAGAAGCTGGTCAAGTCGATTCGCACTGAGAATCGGCAGCTGCAAGAGATTGTGCGCGAGAACCGAATTCTCAGAACTATGGTTGCCGAGCATCAGACGGCCCTTGAAATGATCATGAGCAAGTACCGGTCCCAGGTATCTTATCTCGTCACCCAAACCAAAGCTGACAGACTCATGACTGATCTCACGGCTAAGGTAATAGTTACAATTTGTTGCATTTCAATAATTAATAGCTTTATTAAGATTATGTTGGTATAAGCAATATTAGTTAAATATGATGTTTCTTTTCTTGCAGACAATCGAGGAAAAAAATGTGTTAATCATTCAACAAGAAGAACGCATTAAAGAAATGATGGCTGTCATGAGTCTTGCTTCAAGACTTGAAGCTGAAGAAGCCAGTAAAAAAGAAGAAACTATAGGAAGGCTACAAACTGAAAACCAAGTAATTATAGTTCATTAGTCATATTATTTTTCTATTAAACTGGTAGTCTCACATTAATCTCTTTCATAATTTTTTGTACATGCAGTAGTAATATATTTTTAAATTTTCATTCATAAATTTGAATTTTATTCTTTTCTCAATTAATAATTTGTACATTTATTATTACATCAATGGTCTAAATTAATCTTTGTTGGTTATCAATTTCTTTTTTGGTTTTTTTTTTTTGGTCCATTAAATGTGCAACAATAACTAATACGGTTATTTGTATATTTGTCATTCATCTCGGTTTTAAAGACATTTCCCTGTGTCTCAGCCAATCATTCAGTTTGTCCTGCATAATAGAAGCTGAGAGAAAATTACATTTAATATTGTATTGTTTAATAATAAAACATGGAATAATATTTTACATTATACTATGGTTATCTAATCAGTATGGTTATATACAGTAATAATTTATTTTTATATTGGCTAATAAATATTTAAATTACAAAGTGATATATTTATTTTTGTTCCTATAATGAACATTACAAAAAAAAAAAGAATAATAATTATTTAATATAATGTCCCGGTTTAGGGGTTTCAAAATTTGGCAACCCTTTAGCTATTGTGAATAATGATATAATTAATTTTAAGCATTATAAAATTTAAACATAAATCATTTTTAAAATTATTAATCTTATTATTTATAATTTAATGTCAAATATCTAGTTTAAGATATATTTATAAATTCGAGATAATACATTATAGCAATAAATGTTACATTTTTAATTACATTATAATTGAAAACAAATTATTTTATTAAAATGTCATTTGTTTTTAGTATAAGATGGTTAGAAAAAGGTTATAAATAATACATATAATGTATATTTGAAAATTATATCATTAAATTTTATTCGAAATATTTGTACTTAACTAGGACTTGACAAACATAATTTAATTTAAAAATTATTGATTAGTTATTAAAATTCACAATAATCTTAGATTTCAAAATCAAATTATAAAACTAGTTTAGATAATTTAGATCATTACCTTGGATGGTATAAAATAATAGATTAGCTTAATAATTGATAAATATAATATGATAACAAATTAAATTAACTGTTAAATTTTCATTTACCTAATACCTGAATTATAATATTGGCGAACCATTCTTAAAAAGAAAAATGAATTTAACAAATAAGCAATGTAATACTTATAAATGTATAATAAATAAACTTTACTATAAAATAACACAATTAAAAACTGAAATTAGTAACACAATATTTTTTAAATAATATTAACTTGTATTAACATAATTGTATGTTTATATATATTTATTTATCTATATATTTTATTTGTGTGCATTTTTATTTTCAGACACTAAGAAAACTTTTGAAAATATCTAGTGATCTATCCACAGAAAAAGAACCCGATAAGATGCTGACATCTACATAATAAATTACCATTACCTATTATTTAATCAAAATATTTGTAAGATATTACATTTAAAAGCCATTAATAATTGTGTCATTTTAATAATTAGTAAGTACAAATTATAAAAATTATCTCATCTGGACTTATTTTAAATAATATTATTACAATTATTTTTTAAAAAATAATAATATTTTAACATATATTAAATTATTGATATTTTTATATTATAAAAAATATTATTTTATCATAGTAAGTATTGCATTGGGAAACTAAAAGTTTTATTTAAGTGTTATTGATAGATAGCGTACATATGGTACAATTTGATGTAACCACGATAGTCATGTCTTATTATTTCTTTATAACATTAAAATTATTGTACCAAGTATTGTTTTTCTAACCTTAATATTACTTTTTTTTCTAATAAAAAAATCTGAATACTTTAAATTTACCTAGTCTTAATATTAAAAATAAAATAATTTAATAATAAAAAATGTAAATTTAACCAAAGCAATGACTTACAATAAATATAAATGAATATTTTTCTTCAAAATAAAATTAAAATTAAGTATCAATAAAATCAGTGTCTGCCTTGTAAAAATGTTAATAGTTTTCATCTCGTATTATTATTGTATTATATTAATTATTAATAATGCAATTGTATTTGTTATTTATTTGTTAGTGTTGTATTAGAACTAAGAATTTTAATGTTAAAAACAAAAATATATCTACGTATTATTCTTGTAATAAATTAATATTTAATCATCTAAAACCATTTCCATTATTCATAGAGTATTTAATTTTACACACAATTTTTTAGGCACAGGTTTGTCTTCACTTTTCAAAATTACTGTTGGAAATTTAAACTTTCCTAATCCTTATTTTTATATATTTATTTGCAAATGAATTGTTAAAAAATTAAATTGTTTTATATATAAATTATATATTACTATACATATCTTAATTAAAAAAAAAAATCACTATAAATGATAAATGCCTTTTATAGCTGTCATACTTGCAATAGTAACTGGGACATTCAAACCTTAACTTCTATTCACAATATATTTTGTATATTAGGAAGTAAAATATTGTAATACTACAGTTTAAATATTAAAATGTTAGTGATTTTCATGTTTTGCTTTGTAGTATTAATTGTAATTTATAAATTAAAAATGGTATTTAGTATCCAATTGAAAGTCTACCTCATGTTTTTATGCAATGATTAATAATTTTCTTCATGTTGTTATTGGTTTTTTTAAATGAACATTTGAGAAGTTCAACTGTATATAAAAACATTTTTTCATTTATATAATGGCTTGACTGTACATTTTCTATGCTGATTAAATTTTAATAATCAACATAAACATTTTTAAAAGGTCTATAACTTATATATAATGACAGAATACAGCGCATTTTTTAGGTAAGTACCACATTTGCTCCATAATTTAATTTAATTTCATATTATATCAATATATATATATATATAATAATAATTATGAAACTTCATAGTGAGATGTAGTAAATTTAAAAGAAAAATGAATTTAACAAACAAGCAACATAATACTTATATCAAATGATTTTACTACACAATTATTTTTGAATATCATTCACTTTTATTAACATAATAAGTAACATACATAACATAATCATATGTATGTAAATATATACATTTATCGATAACTATTGTAAACAATTTTTTTTTTAGAAAACTTTCAATTTATCTATCCACAGAAGAAGAACCTAATAAAATGCTAACATTTACATAAACTTGATATATTACCACTACCCATTACTGAGTCAAAATAATTATAAGGCATCTAATTCAAAAGCCATTTATAATAAATTATGAACACAATCTCATCTGGAGTTAATTAAAAAAATAATACAATCATTTTGAAGAGAAAAAAAAATATTAACACATTTTATTAAAATATTGATATTTTCAAATCAGGAACAATGTATTGTCATCATCGTGTGTATTCCGCTGGGAAACTAAATGAATGAGATCCAATAGCACCTATTATTGGCAGCCGACCTACATTTGGTATGATGTTATATGACAGTGATAGAGTCACATTCTTATTGTCTCTGTGAAATATTAAAATTACTTTACAATCAGTTTTTTTAACCATAATTATAGTATTTTTTCTATTTCTTTAAAATCTGAAGAATGTACATTTACTCATGTTTAATACTGGAAGTATAAAAAAAATGATTTATGAAACAAAATTGTTTTAATTATTGTTAATATAACGATTATAATTTAATAATGATAATTAATAATTAAATATTAAAATTTTCAGATTTATCAACACTTTTTTCTAATCAAAATATAATTATAATGAACATTAGTTCCTACTTAGTAAAAATATAAATATTATTCATCAAATATAATATATTATAAATATAGTATTATTATATTATTATACTAAATTAATATTAAAAATTATAAAATTGAATTTGGCATATGTTTGATAAGGTTTCATTAGAACTAAATATTTCAATTTTAAAATAAAAATAAAATTATAAATACAATTACTTTTCTTGTAACAAAATAATATAGGTAGTATTACCTTAAACCATTTCCATCATCCCAAAAGTAATATTTTGTACGCATATTTTTTAGACGCAGATTTGAATCTTCACCTCTTAAAATTATTTTATCCCACAGAACTACCTAAATAAAATCAGACATTTTAATTAACTAATAAAATTTATTATTTGTAAATAAATTACTTGATTTAGTGTGTTAGTCGGTGTCTGATACTCAGCAGTCAGGTAAACAAACAGTTGTTTTACATTCCAATTGAACAGACTAGTGAGATGTGCACAAAAATAGTCAAGGAAAACATTTTAGACATAATAAATTAATAATTAATTTTTCAATTATGTTCATCTAATAGTTGCATTAATAAATAATTTAAGAAAATTAAATAAATAACTATGACACATAAACTATTGCATTTTTAGAGAAAAATTATTATTACAGTTGAGATTATTAGTCATAATTATTCAAATTTGTTTTATCTAGAAACAAACATTAAAAATTTAGTATCCACCTTTACAACATTGTATTTCTGATATCTTTTACTATCAAAAATAAATATTACAATGTGATTGAAGAGTCACATAAAAAAAAAATTATATTATTTCATTAATCGTAATAACAAAAAAAATCACAACAAGAGGAAAAAATATCATTTAAGAATAGAAGTATTAAGTATTAAATATAAATACATAGATTTGCATACTAAAAAAATGTCAACACTCCATACAATTTATCTTCTTTCACATTAAATTCAGTTATTTTGATTTCCTATACATTTAAAATGATGAAATTTAATCAAATTGAATAAAGAAAGTTCTTTTTCTTATGCATACATTTAAAATTTAACTTAACATTTGTAAAGCAAAAATATTTGCTTAAAATTTTATTTTAGTAACATATGTTATTCTACGCATTTTACATTCCATATGTTATATTAATACTTGGTAACTTTTAAGGATTACACAGGCCACTGATGCTGCCTTTGACACTTGTAACTAATTGGATTCAAGGAGTGTTGAACGCTGGATACAGATTTATGTAATACATACTAAATCAAATATTTTAACACTATACAGTAGTATAAAAAGGATATCTGCATTAAGATTGAACGTAATATGACCCAAGTCGTTAACTTTCTTGGAAACACCATACTCTGGTAAGTTTTTCCTAAAAACAAATTCAAATGGTTAATGATAGGCACTTCAATGGGCATTTGAGAAGAATATGTATGACTATAATATACTTACACTTCGATTTTGAGCGTCTTCATTTCGGTTGCCGTCCGATAGTCGACCATAATTGTGGACAGAAAACAAGCGAACGTAAGCGTAACGAGCACGCTCAACGTGTACGCCAGCACCGAATTACCTCGAGAAAGTAATGAATGCATTGAAGGGGCACGGAGAAACAAAGTTTTTTTGAAACGCCTAGTGACCGGCTAGAAAATTACTGTTTATCAAAAGTATAGAATTCGTCTGTTAGATGATTGTCGGATTAAAAATACGTAAACGTAAACACTTTTTCCTTTTTTTTTTAACGGGTGACGCTATTATCACAGGTGTATGTGGATGATAACGGTAAATCATGACGTTTGCCATCCGACGTGGTATCTACCTAATAACGTTCTGGTAGAAAACATGACGTGTCCGCCAGGGGCGGATAGGCATAATCCGACCGGCCCGGGAAAAATTGAATACAGCGGCCCGCATGATTATATCCAAGTTCCAACTAAACAATTACCTCAACTTTGAATGAACCGACCCGGCAATCACCACCTTTTTTTTTTTTTTTCAAAGTTCTTAAATAATATTTAAAATTATAATATTTACTATCCAATTTTACACATTTTTTGCTCTCTTCTAACAACTCTACGATTTTTATCTCTTTTAGTTTCTGCACCTCCTTTTCTTTTTAATTCGTTTTGAAGGATACCTGGTTATACAACATTTTAGCACTATTATACTATTTACATGGTTCGCATATAATTATTGTGGAAAACATGATATATCAGTAATCAACTTTACCGTGGGGTTTTATTAGTGATTATATACGATAATTTAAATCTGAACAATCAGTTATCATTATAGCACGGAATTATATGCATTAAAAACCAATCAAATATGCGCTAAAAGATCTTTAACATGCACAAGTTAGCTTCCCTTTTCACGGTCCCATCACTGTCATTCCTCCATCAAATTTACTCATTGTACATATAATAGTATAGATTGTAAATATTCAATAAACGATATTTTATAAAAAAAAAAAACATGCACAAGTATAAGCACTAATATGTTAAAATATGCATTAAAGAAAAAAAATTTGCACTCAAAATTTTGAATAAAATTTAATTTTTAATTTTTGATAATTTAATTAAAATAAAACATAAATTACATTTACAATTATGTAACCCTGCCGTAAATACATTTTTTTCTTCTTCATTTTAAAGGAATTTACTATGATATTTATAGATTCAAGCTAGATTTAAATATATATTATTAGTATTATATTTATTTACTTTTATTTGTATATATGTACATGTATAATAGTATTAATAGTAATATTTTTCATCGGCCCATTTTCGTCAATATAAGCAGCGGCCCACCGAGAAAATCCTGGTGTCCCGACAGCCCTATCCGCCCATAGTATCCACGGTTACGTCCTATCGGCATATAAGCATTCCATACAATATTAGAGACCCATAGGAAATCGACGGTAATGTAAAATAAATTATAAAATTATAGATACTTTCAATTTTTTTCTTTTTTTAAATATTTATATTAATTTGAAAATATTTACTAAAACATAATTCGTTGTCCATTTAGAATACTTGAAAAAATGTTCCAATGTACATTATTGAAAAAGAAAAAAAACACACAAACACCTTTTGTAAATTATTTGTAATTATTTAATTAAATTGTATTAAATTTTTTATTATTTTTCTAGGACTAGGTAGGATCGGCAGACATTTCATATTGAAACATCTTAACGATAATTAATCTGTTTTTAATATTATAATAAATATTTCTGGTCAATTTTAAAATTTAAAATTAAATTATAAGTTCTTTAAATGCAAATTTAAATTACGATTAGAGGTCAGTTTTAAAATTGATAATAATAAATATTTATTATATTTAATATACATTTTTTTTTCATCTATTATATTTAAAATCTTTCAGCACATTATGTTCTATTGCAATTGCAATTACAATGAATTTATTTATTTTACATTTATATAATTATAATTATAATAATCTCCTAATGAGAGTTTCTCGGTATCTGTTATGAGGATGCCTTGGTGCAATCGACGTAGCAGTCGTCTATTTCGGGTTTTGCTTCCTAGTTGGTAACGGCGGGCTCCGTATGACTCTTTGAGCTTGGTGAGGAAACTTTTAAATAGGATTTTAATCCAGGTATTTATTACGGGTATTCCAGTGTCATTATGGACATGGTGGTTTCTTATTAACCATGGTACTTTTAGGGATATCTTAAGGAATTTATTTTGGAGCATTAGGATTTTTTTATTTTAGTGGGTGAGGCTGCCACTTAAACGAGGCAGGCGTACATTATTGGTGGTCTGATTGTTTATTAACTTTGATTCCTAATTAAAATTAAAGACATTTATTTCATCAAATCATAATATTTCACAATATTACAAAATATTTAACAAATTCTTACTATAAGTTTGTATAAAATAACTTAATCTAACTCAAAGAAATACAACAGGCTGATATAATATATATATATATATATATATTTAATATATTTATAATTAATTTTTTTAACTATTTATAATACTTTCTATTTTCATGAAATGAAACAATTCCAATTAACAAGTTTGATTTCATTTAGATTAATTGTTGTCATTATTGACCGGAATAGATAGATTATTTGTGATTAAGTTGAAAATAGACCTTATAATACATTGTACATTATACAGAATATTTTTTTATAAAGTGAGGTATTGTTTTTTGTAAATTTTCATTTAAGTAATCAGTGAATACTGTAATGAACCAAAAATAGGACAAATTGAATGCATTAGGTATCTTATAATAAAATAAAAGCCAGGATGTTATTTTGAATCCGTTTAAATATTTTTTTGTCATTTTCTTTACACTCCCTTTATTAACCAATTGTATAATCTATCTTGTTTGCATTTGAGTTTCTTTTTATATTTAAAGACAACATTTGTTGGAGGATATGCAATATGAAATTGTTATAATCGATATAAATCCTATAAAAGCTTTCAGGTCCATTTGTGGTACTAAAAACGATAAAAGACACAATATTTATTAACTTTTTCTAGTTCACTTGTATAGTCATATGGTATATACTGGTATGAAATTTGGCAACAACGCTTAAAACTTCGTATGCAATTGTATAGTTAAAAATAAGGTAAGCCGTACGGATTCGTGTAGTTTAATAAAAAGGTATTGCCGATAACGATCGTTCGCAATTGTTATTTACCCATTAAAAATATTTTAGTAATGGAGGGTATTTACTAATCGGGGGTCGTTCATAACCTCGCACTTTCAAAAACAGGTCGTCGTTCTAAACCGCACACTTTTATATCTTAATCACACATATGTCCGCCAAATTAAACCGTTCAATATCGCACACATTGATATGTATCAATAACGTATACATTTATTTAAAATAACATGAGTGTACCTCCTGACCGAGCGTGGTAACTCGCTCGCTACGGTTGCTCGGTATGTTAAAAACGAAAATATCACCCGATTTGCTATGCAACACCACCCCAAATAGGTCACAAAATAAAAAAAACGATTACGAATGGGAATTATACGAAACGACAACGTGAACCGTACATGTAAATTATGCAAGAAGAAAGAACTGTTAATCAAATGTGTGCGGTTTTGAACTATCGACCTTTCAAATTTTCCCTTTTTAACAATAGAATAAATGCGTGTGGTATTGAATGTCATCGTTTCGATGACCGCCGTACTAATCCTGCCATCAATCCTAAATCTTTTTACCTTCTTTCTTACTTGTGCACTATAAATGAGCAATATCCAAATGAAATAATTAACACTTTTTACCTATTCATAAAATTAACAAAAATCAATCGTACTTTATGAATGATTAAAATTAGACGTGGTTAGGTTAAATATTAAATATTATTATAATATGAGATAATTATTACAATACAACAATATGGAATTTCTTAGGATTATTTTTACAATAATTATACTTAACTAACTTTTTATAATTCTATGTGATTATATAATATAATTTTGGTATAATTAACCTACATTTTCTTATAATAAACATATATTAACCATAGGTCAAATGTAATGTTTTACTTCTTTTATACAATTTATTTATTATAATAAAATACATTTAAATTAAATACGACTATGTTAATGTCTAATTGTGATTATTTGTTAAATACGGGGTATGATTAATATAATTTAATTCATTTAAATAAGTGATATTTTAATAGCTATATGTGATTTTATCGAAAGAAAGCTATACATGAAAAATTCGGTTTGATTAATTTTAATTTTTAAATGCCTAGTAAATTTTTGTTAAATATAGAATATGGTTATTATTTTGAATTTTATTATGATTTTAAATTTTAAATATTGATGATTATGCAGCATAATTGTGCTTACCATTACAATACATTGTCTAAAAATTTTTTGCGTGGCTTGAGTGAAATTAGTTTTCCTTTTAATTATGTCCGCAAATGAGGTTATATTTGGCATTTTCTTTTCTGAGGAATTTATAACAATTATATTTCTTGATGAATTAACTATTGACTCATTTTCGGATATTGGAGGTTTATGGGGATTGATTCATTTTTTTATTTTTTATATTTTGAGGTATTTACATTCTTTATATTTTGCCGGGGATGTTCCGTTGCTGTTTACGCAGTTAAGTAGAGTTTCTGGTATTTTATCGTATTGAGAAAAGTAGTGTAAGCCATTACATTTCACGTAACGGGATTGGAGTTTAGTGTTTTATTTTTATTTGTCAGTTTTATAACTGACTGTATAGGAAGTTTTAGATTTTTTATTCCTCCATTACTTCCGATTCTATAATAGATATGGGTAGATTTCTTATATCTGCTGAAATGTCTTTTTCGTCTTATAATCTGTAGGTAATATAATCATAGTTATTTTTATCTAGATATTTAGTGACCGATCGGAAATCATCCATTGTTTGTAGGTTAACTTTTATTTTGTTTAATTTAGCTACTATGCTGAAGTTATTTTGAATATTTTCAGATATCTCTCGGCGGAACTGTTCAAATTCTGATAGATTTATATTTATTACAAATATTGGTGATATTTTTGGATTATTTTCAGCTAATTGCGATTGAATAATGTAGTTATTTAAATTATCATTTATAACTTCGGCTTGTGCTGTATTTGTATTTGAAGGAATTTCACTTTGAATTGTTTCAATTAATTCGAGAGGAGAGTAACGATTTTGTGTTGAGAAAAATGTGTTTTTATTTGTCAAGTTTTGTTCTTTGGAGGTTTTTCTTAGCGATCTCAACTTATTGTCAGATTTCGGTGACGGAGATTTTGGATCTTCATTATTTAGAAATAATCGGTTTTTTTTTATAAGGAGTGAAGGGACTGTTTGATTTTTTGAAATGTTTGTTTGAGTTATATCTTTGTTGGAAGAGTTTCCATTTGAATTCATTTTGGTATTATGTTGTTATTTTATTTTATATTAAATTGTATATTAACGGGCTTTCGCTCGCGTATGGCGATTTACAGCTTTGTAGTCGTGTGTTAGTGTACTTTTTATTCAATTAAAATGTATACATTACCGATTTGCCGCTATCAGTGTTTTGTTTTATTACTGCTATCGAGAGCTATTAGAAACTGTTGGCGAAATAATGTGTAGACGCTACGGTGTCCCAACGCGTACTGTAATATACAATTATTACATAAAAATTGTTATCTTTGATAATTTAGTTTTCAATTGTGGTTGGATAAATAATTTTATTAAACAAATGTCAAATCAAAATAATCAAATTAATTTAAAGAATAATTTTAATTATTAAAAAAAAAAAAAATTATAAACATTGAATATATATATATATGTTACCGGAAATATGGATAGTTCAGGTATTTTGTAAAATGCCTAAGCATTATGCAAATTGCCAATTTTTTTTAGGCAAAGTACAAAACATTTTACTATATGTTATATCACATTAAGATTTTTATAATTATTATATATTATTACTACTATATAAATATTTCACTTAAATTACTATTTACTTATTATAACATATTTTAGAAAAGTCACAGTTTGAAGTGCACAAAATGTTATTTTTAAGGCAAATACACTTTTTATTTTGACATTTGGACTTACAAACAAATTTTAAAAATCCTTGGCCAATTCCTGTGGATTGAATTCTTATTAACTGATTATACTGTTCATTAGATAAAAAACTAGTATTACGTAATGAAATGTATTTTGTACTTACCAAGCATACGATAAAGTTAACCAGAAAATATATGCAAATTCATGAAAGTCCTTGCTCAACTCATAAACGTTATAAAAACGTTTTGGTGCCCTGGTTTAGACTACCTGTTCTGGCGGAACAACGTATCTCCTAATATAAAAAGGTCTGGCGGAAACGATGAAACCCCCTAAAAACTACCTCGTATTAATCTACACACGTATAATTTATCTGTACGGATATATCTGTACTTTCGAATCGCTCAATTGTAACTGAACGTACGAATGTAGCCCTCGTTAATAGTAATCATCAGTAGACCAAGTTGTTTACTTTCTCATTATGTGAGAACCGTGGAGATGAGAATTAATGTGAATTATAACTATTATGATTTATGTTAATTTTTATTGAATTTAAATTAAGTCCTCAACAATATAATTAATAATTTATACCTTACATGTATTTTTTATAAAATTATAAAATCACTTATATTTTAGAAAAATTAGAAAAAAAGCCACTGCATGTTACACATTATTTATTTCTTCTATTTAAAATATTAATAATAATTTTACTATTTCACGTAACTCGTATTTTAAAATACATTTTATTAATTTATACGAGTGTGATAAAGACCGTTATTTAATACGGAATATCCAAATATATAATAAATTACGTACACTATACCTACATAACTACTCGATCTCAATATATAATTACGTTTATCATAGTTATTTATCTACTATTATCAAGGCTCAGAACTTTCTGCATTAAAAATTACTCGAATATGTGCATATATATATATGCATTAAGAATATAATAATATGCGGTTAAAATTTGCAAAATATGCAAATATATGCATTTGGTCATTTGGACCGCACTGGGTATACATTTGCGTATTTAAAATCTATTACTGTAGTAATTTGGCCCACTTTATAAATTGATTGGACTGAATAATTATTGATAGTCGGTTGGGGTTAATATATTTTATTTTTTAATTAATATTTTGTTTTTCTTTTTATTTAAAAACAAAAACATAAGACATTACGATACAAAATTATTAAAATATTCTTTATGGTGATTATTTATAAATCGTTATCGTGCAACATGTGTGTAATTACGATAATTTTATTTTATTATCTATCAGCTTTTATTAACCATCAACTACTAGCCTATTGACAGAAATTCATATTTCATAATGATAATTATTGATAACTGAAAATATTAAAACATTACCTAAATAATATTTTATGTGTTGATATTTTATCTGTAAATAAGTTTGTAAGCATGAAAATGCATCAGTATCCTCTAAAATATTAACAAAAAATATAACTATTTATTTGTACCTAATAAACGCTTTATTATAATATTTATTATCAACTCTGTATTTACTGCTTTTCTTCGTTAAATGATTTAGTAAATACTATTATTATTATATTGTCATTAATAAATAGTAAAAATATTATTATTTCATTTTTATTGTGTTGAAAATTCTAAATAGGCTTAGAGTCTGCTCTATAAAAAAAAAAAATTGAAATTACGACACTGATGCAATTTATTGAATAAAATACCTAATTTACATAAATTAAATACATGGGAAAAATAAAATAATAAACAAAGCACACTTGTATATTGTTATGTCTTTTTGTTATCCAAGTTATAAAATCTTCATCAAACTTAAATCTTCTTGAGTATAAATATATACATAAGATAACCTACTGATAAAATTCCAAGCCTTGACAATTACTATATATTGCCTTATTAATTGCTATTAATCCAATTTTTATATTCATATGTTGAACAAATATATAAAATTTACAAAAAAAAAAAATAAATAAATATATAATTTATTTGTTTTCTGAAAAAAATGAAAAGGAGTCTTGATCGACTTGTAGATTACTCCTGAAATAAATAATAATACACAAATTATACACCTACATACTATACATAAATATATATACCAACAATACCTATCTTAAATACAATTAATTAATATTAAATAAAAAAAAGACAAATTTTTGATACTGGCCATGTAAAAAAAAAAAAAAAATTGTTAAATAATTATTTTTATAGTGAATAAGATGACTGCAAAATAGAAATTCAATAAATGAAAAAGGTATTTTAGTTTTTTAGGATGTATTAAGGTTAAAAACAAAATTTCTCTACAGCACTACTGAACTATCAGACTTATGACTTTTACCACTTTATTAACTTAAAAACGTAAACGGTAATATTAATAAGAAACAAATCAATATAAATATAATCAAAATCAAATCTAAAATAAGTAAGTGTAATCTTTACATTCTTCAAAAACTCTTTATTAATTTAGTATACCAATAAAATAATTACACTGGTCATTAAATAAAAACGAGAATGTTTTCATAAAACTTCTTTTTTATAATATTGGTTCATAATCTTGCTTTGATGGTCTCTTGAATTCTGCTTTGGTTACCATATAGACAGCCAGTCCTCCGAAGATCACAAACAGTATACCTAAAAAGTTTCCATACAATCCTTCTGCCGGATAATATTTATAATTTTTGTCCCTGTAAATAACATGTGAATAGTTGTATTAATTCATTATTTATACACATATATATAAAGGAATCTTAAATAGTTTCCATTAGTGTAATTAAATAGGATAATTAAGTACAGAGCAAAAATTAATTTTTCACTGATTCCTAGTATACAGGTCACAACTGATAATACAAAGATGAATATTCCAAAGAAAACGTGATAAGGCAACATGGCTTCTCTATAATTATCGGCCGTTCTAGTAGATAGGAAAAACCAGAGTCCACAAGCAAACTATAAAAATATATATAGTTAAATCAAAAATAAATAAAATAAAATAAAAAAATATTGACAAATGTACATCAAATTTGATCATTTAATATGTGTTCTTATATAAGTTCATATTACATGCTAACCTGAGATAGAAACAATACGACCGTAACTACTCCCAACCAACTGTGTAGACTATAGAAATTAGGAATTGGAGGCTTAGCGAATAGATGTGATGCTAAAGCAGCAAATGCAGCGAGTAGCACAATAATTAGTATGCAGCCATGAATGATTGAGTGTTGATTTTTCAAATCTTGTTTTTTACTATCGCGAAATGTACGATAATGAAGAATAGCTATAACAGAACAAACAAACCATAATATTGATCACATGGAGATGAATTAAATAATAATTTATTTAAATATATATTCATATATTCTACACATCATTGTTCACTACATATATATTTTAAAAGTTATGAGAAAAATAATCCATATCATTTCTCAATAATTTATTTTAAGTTTAAATAATTTATTATTGCTTTAAAATATCAAAAAAGAAAATCCTGAGTCGAGTGAGACTATATGATCGGGGATCATACAGGAATGGATGAATGATATTGCTGTAATGTTCTTTTAAACATAATTGTACCATTATTAATTTTCATATTTTTATTTTTTAGATATATATTTCATTATATTATACTAAATAATTTCTTATAATAGTAATATATATATTATATACCTAATATAAATTATTAGTAAAGATGGGAAAAATCGAGAGAAAATAGTCGAAATGCTCAATTGTTCGAATTAATCAATTTTTCTCGATTGTTTTGAAAACTGTCGAGTGATTCTCTGGTTAACGAAATCAGTTGGTAACTACTAGATTGACCAAGAGGTTATTTTTTAGTGAATTCTTCTTGGTTATCGAAATCACTCGTCAATTTGAGATAATCGAATGAAAAATACTCGAATGCTTACAACCACTACTATTTACTAGTAGATAACTGTGTTCACAACACACAAGGTTTATAGATTATAATCTACAAACCTTCACACAACACACTCGTGTGCTATAATGAAATATTATAAATTCATAAATCGAAAGATAATATTGATAAATTATGAATAATCGGAAAAGGAAATTGAACACTTATCGTATTGAATGTATCAGTAATTTTATAGTATAGTGATGTTATATTATTTTATAGTATTAAACTATTTACTATTAGTAGTATAAACTTACTTACTTATATATATTATTATAATATAATTATAATTGAACCAGCTAAAAAAAACAATGACAATTTATATTCTAAATAAAAAATTATTATAAAAAATATCTCGTTAGGTATTTAATTTTAATATTAATTTCTTATAAATGTAATTTTAATCAAAATTAATCGATTAATACAAATCGAAAAAGGACAACAATTTTCTAAATAATATTAGTTTACTTTTAATTAGTTAATTATTATTTTTAATCTATCATAGGTAAATAAGATAAGTACCTATCAAAACCGTATTATTTATTATTTAACAATCGACTACCTATTAAATATTATATCGAAATATTATTGTTATTATAACAATTTATTTTATTTTAATAATTAGGTATTGATAAAATAAACAATATGTTATTACAAATATTATATTATATTGTTTTTATAAAATGTTTTATAATATTCTATATATTAAGTGCTAATCTCGCCCAAATATTATAATGTAATTTAAAATCAGTGACCACGGTTATATACTCAGAGTAGATAATCATGCCAGCGACTGATCGAATGACTTCATAATGAAGTATATGGTACCATTGATTAAATATAATGTAATAATAATAATATATAATATTGTATATTTAATCTATGTCAGTAGTTACTAAACTACTAACTAGTAACTATATAATTATATATATTTTATTTTAAAAGCTAAAATAGTTATGAAATATATACAACTTAATTGACCGAGAAGTGTTTTCGAGAGAATCTTTCGATTGTTACATTTTCTCGATTACTAACCTCTCGATTGTCGTAATCACTCGATTTTTCCCATTTCTAACTGTTATTTTTTTTAACTTATCAGTTATCCCTCATTATTTTCACTTCGGAACACGGCATAAAAAGATAAAGTCTATAGTAATAATATTTGAAGTTTTGGGATTTTCTGGCAACACTGAACGTGTAATGAACACTTTTATTGGTTTAGTGAATGTTCCAAACATTAATTATTAACGAAAAAACGATTTTGAATGAAAGCGGTGTGGTGGAACAGTTTATATTTCTAAGAATGGTTGATATAGTGAAAGACCTAAATTTCTTCATAAAATATGTTGAACTCTTAATTTTTCTTAAATTTAAAACTAAAATTTGGGAAAATCTAAAAGTTCAGAACAGCATAAACTTTATTAAATGATTTATATACATATTATCATGGGCGCCCGGAGGGGGGGGGGCAAGAGGGGGCATTTGCCCCCCCTGCAATTCAATAGAATGTTGAATATTTTAACTTTTATTTTGATTTATCAACATTTTATCGATATTTTTACTTTAGTGTTTACCGTGTGGTGTTGTAGATCGTAATAACAATATATTATAAGGTGTACCTACAAAATAATGCGTATTACATTAATCGCCTAGTGTGTAAACCACTTATGACGATCGACGCACTACGCACACATAGCTTTAGTTTTTATTTAACTAATTTTTTAGGTGGTAAGGAATATATTTTTTAATGTTCTTTTTGGTGTTGGATTTCATATAATTCTAACACAATTTGTAGTTTACAAGGAATAAACTTTTTTTAATGTATTTTTTTTTTGTGTTTGTTTTCATTATGCCCCCCCCCCCCTGATAAATTTCCTGCGGGCGCCCATGCCTATTATATTATATTTTAGTTTTAAATTTAAGAAAATATATACATGAAAAATCTTATATTAAGTACATTAATTACGTATAAATAATATATTAAAATATTATAGGTAAACAAAATAGTTTAATTGAAATTCGTTGAAATATCAGATTTCATGAAAATTTTATTTTAATAATCTTATAAAAAATATTTACGGTATTCCTGTAATTTTGGTTTTTTATTGAATTTCATATAAAATCATGTGTCCAACTTTCAAGTTATTGGTATAAAAATTAAATTGTGAAATTGTAATTTTTTTTGATATGTATTATATTGTGAATTCATGTATTCATTAATTTATGTTATAAAAATAAAAGACGAAAATGTGTGATAATAACAATATATTAGAATGTTATTACGCAAGATAATGCAATTTAATAGTACATAAAATTAAATTAACACATTTTTATACGGCCAACGGGGGGGGGGGGCGCCCCTACCGCTCCCCTAGATCCACTCCTACAAAGACTTGCACATTTTTTTTTTTTTTACATAATTTATATAATTTATAGAGAAAGACGATAAAACCATTCAGTGAAAATGTCAAGTAAAAAAATAAAAAATATTACATCATGGTAAAACTAATACATTCCTCGATTTATTCAGTATCTAAAATACTTAGTCTTTGTATCTTATTAAAAATAGATTTTTATCATTGAATAAATATTAAAAATAGTGTATTTGAATTTAAGGTAGTTTTCAGCATTTGGAGTAAGTTAGAAATTATTCCAAAATGAAAAGAAGTATGTAGCTATTTAATTACCATTTCGTGTATGACAAGGATAGATATTAAGAATTGATAAGGATTGATATTAAAAAATTTAAACTAAATTCATCATGCATTTAATTCCCCTTTTCTTTTCCATAATAATTTGAACACGCTTGATGAACATAATGAACAGATGTATCGTTGTAATTATGATGAATATTGAAACTTACCGTTTGCAAACAAGTAAACAAAAGCGATGGTCATCAATAGAGGGTGCCAGTTGAACACTATTTTAGGTGTAGAAAAACCAAATCCACCTCGAAATAGAACAACCCAAAAGAAAACGGCTAATATGAGTATCAGTCCTATAATCTAAAAATCCAATAGTTTGGATAAGATATTTTATTTTTTAAAATTGTATACCAAACTCGTTTAACTAATTTACCTGTAAAATTATATTTAATGGCTTATACGAAGCAATATTAGGGCTTGTTATCAGCGACCTTTCTTTGGCGTCAGCCATATTAAAAATCAGTAGGTAGTGATGATGTTTTTTATATTGATGATTCTTTGAAGTGTTTCTTGCTCGCAGTTAGACTCCACGGACTTAACTGTGAAACGTTAATATTACACTAACCGTAAGTATTTACACTATTCATACCGAGTTTGAAACTGATTCAAAATATCAGAAACCGGTTTTATATTCTTGCTTGAAACAACGGAGCGATAGAAATACAATTTCACATACCTTATATAACCACGTACATCGTACAATTTTTTAACGCGGTTATCGAACAATCGCTTGGCCGAGTGTACAACATGCGGAACGATTGGCCGTGGTGATTTTTGTTTAACGACTGCGGTAGTCCCTAATTCTTATACGTTATTATATAGGTATTCAGAGATGTGGAATGGGTTACAGATCTAGGCATAGGTGATTAGGTCAAATCCGAACGGTTGCTTACATGAATAAAACGACGATAAGGCATTATCAATAAATAAATGTCAATAAATATATTATACTTCCAAAAAATAATTGGCTGATAGTTAATCATTTTTATGTAAATAATTTACTATATAGATGGTTGCAAAGCATAAATTATATATCATAACATTTTGATAAAACTGATTAAAAATCATTAATCATATTACAACATGCATGCGTAGCGTGTACAGGAGGAAAGCATCCAAAATGCCTCGAATTGTATGAATGTTTATAATACACTTTAATACACTTTTAAGTCTAAACATTTGAAAATAATCACTTGGTCTCTGGGTTATTGACACTGTACAGCAGTGGTTCTCAACCGGTGTGCCACGAGCGCCCTTTAAATGTGCCGCGATAAATCTATAAATTGTTTTATAAGTATGTATTTACCAACTTATTATTGATATAAGAGATGAAAACTGATCGGACTAATTGTAGTTACATATAATATTATTTATTGTAAGTATGCCCGTCGCAGCCGTCTTGATTGATCGACTGTATTAATATATTTCACAATAAACAATCCTTTAATAGAGTAGACAGTAAATAGTATATATATATAAAATATGGTTCACATAATATATGGATTGATGTGCCGTCAAAAGTTTGTTGGAGATGAAGTGTGCCGCATTGTTAAAAAGGTTGAAAACCACTGCTGTACAGATGCACACTGTACACTGCTAAAACTCTTAATATACTTAAATTCAAGGAGTTCACGTTTCATGTGTCAAATCTAAAATATAAACGTATAAATCTTATTTTAATCCTGTATATGTATTATTTCATTAAAACTTGAAATAATTAACATAACATTTTTAATTTTACCATTATAAAAAGCGCATATATATTTTGGATAAACAAGTATTTCAAGTTACACGAATATTAATTGGCTTAGTAGAGACCGCTACATCTAAAAACAACTAAAGAAAAAAAAGTGCGATGTTTCAACAACTTGCGGACAATTTTAAGTTATGTTCAGATATTTTTTTATTGATAAGAATGAACAAATCTAATATAGCGATAAGTCCACGTAAAAGATAATCACAAAGTAAATTATATATTAAATGTATCGATGTAAAAATGCTTAAAACTCAATGTTTGTTTTTCATTAACAATGTATGTTCTGATTACAAATTTCCCACACAGCATTTCGCATTGTTTAGTTATTTTATTATTTTAACTGTATGCGTATCACCTGCCAATTAAAAATTGAGGTTTGGTTACGTTTAACTTTTGAAATTATTATCACTCTGAAAATTGAAATTAAATCACCTAAAAACAATTATTCCTATAATTTATCGATGATTCGTCGATTATCGACATGAGTAATGCGAGAGAAATGAAAAAATGTTCGACAGAAAGGTCTTGTACACAAGAACTGTCTTGTATTCTCTTGTACTCAGAACAATATTTTGACTAACAAAAACAGAATTTGGGTATATTTTTAATTTATGAAGGGATAATGCAAGACTTTCGATAGTTTGAATCATTTATATTTTATAAGATTCATAATATGAGTGAATACAAATCATCGGTAAAAACAACTAAGCTCTTAAAATGCGTGTTTTTATGTTTAAAACATTGCCCAATGTTGTTTTTTTCATCATATCAATCGATAAGAAAATATTATTAGTGAGTTTATCAAAAAAAAATTTTTTTTTTAGTTCTTGCTCAGATAATTTTACAACGATGTATAATTTATAATTCATAAGCTTAGTTAATACAAAATCTATGTAACTTGGAATGTAATCACATAATTTAGAACTTTGGATTTTGAATGTCCGATATTGTGCCATGGCTAGGTAAGAACTGAAAAATGTGTTAAACATGAATATGGTATTTTTATAGCTTAATTTATTTTTACTGGCAGTGTGATACGTTAAAATATGTTATTTTTGATGTTATACGCATTAAGTAATTAATAAATCAGTTACAATAATAATTAAAGTAAAAAATAAATAGGTATACTCAATTGTGAGGAATAACACACACACATATTGTGTGGGTTTAACTCAAATAATTTTAACTTAAATTATTAGGTTATACATATTAAAAGTAACTGTAATTGTAAGGATATTGAGAAGGAACATTTTCGTATGAAAAATTTGAAAATTTATTAGCAAATTAGAAACGCGCTCGCAGGTGTAAATAAATGATAAGTCATTTGTATATTTCCATAAATAATTGATGAATTCAATAAAATTATGCCTAATCATAATAAATAATACTGTACATTCAGTACAACTAGTCACGATAACCGAATGTGACTCCACTTTTCCGGATTTTTCTGGTTCACCTTCAACTTTCACAGTTTTCCTCGTTTGGAAAACAATAATAGAATTTTACACACTTTGTAAATATCTACTTTGTAAATTGTAGTGTATAATAAAGGAGTTGAATTTTTATTACTTTAAATATCTTAGAGGGAACAGAGATATACGTAAAACATATAAATCCTAGTATTCTAATTGAATTTAATTAGTACGTTTACTATGTATGACACGGGAATCATTTTTATTTGGACTCCCATTATTTTTATTTAACTCATAGTAAGTATTCTTAAATTTATGTTTAGAAACGATTAAATGAACTTTCTATAGAAATATGATCATCAAGCCGGTCGAAGTACTTAATATTCTGTGTTTACCATTGAGAAAATTAGACTTAATCTAATAATTTGTAAAATAACTTGGATATTATTTATCTGCATGATATGTATAATATAATAATATACTATATATAATGCATATATATTATATATGTTATATTATATATTATACGTTATAAATGATTTTTCATATTTTTAAATTCCCTTCCCACGGAAATATCCTAGACACGTCAATTATTTGATGCACACGAATTGTCTCCTAAATCTAGGAAGGGGACTTTTTCATTCGTGTAATTTCAACGTTTTCAGCTATTGAGCTCTTTATACTTGTATAATAACTACCTACGGTCTTACACCGAACAGGTATTCTTCCTTGGAAAGGAATGATGGGGGGAGAACTGGTAGACCTTCAAAACAGATGAAAACCGGAACCAAAATCGAGTACCTATGTGGATAACTGTACACATTTAAAAGCCTCCCGTATCACACATATGTTCATTTTTGATTAAATTTCTAATATATTTCTGAAAATGGTTGATAGCATGGATAGGGGAGCAATTTCAAGGAAAAAACTAGGGGTGCTGAAGCCCTTCTATATTTTTCATGTTCCCTAATGGTTATAGACACCCGCAAATCGTACAATTCAATAGTTACTAAAATATTTGGTAAATACATGAATATTTCTAAATTTAAATTGTTCACTTTAATTTTATATTTTTATTGCGCGTATAACGAATTACCTGTCAGTAAACAAAAATGTTTCAGACTTTTAAATTCTGACTGAAGCGAATGATATTATGGTTTTATAATGATGTTTTTATTTTATTTGTTTAACACTTTTTCAGATAGAAATACTGGTCCAAAAGTTTTTTCTAGGATATTTTTAAATTTCAAATTGGCATGCGGTGGTACTTTAGATAGGTAATTTTTTTAAATCATAATAGTTTTTCTAGACGTGAAGAAAAAACTGTCCTGAAATGGTAAAAATACGCTGACTTTCATATTTCAAATTTTAGTTATATTTTAGTCATAATTCCAAAAGTAATATGGCTATAAACTTGAAACTTTTACACTATAGCGAAGATATTTTTTTTTCGTATTGCGAAATATTTTTGTATTGTATAAAAATTTATATGAAAAAACTTAAAAACTGTTATGTTTTTCTATACATAATGAGTAATGAGTATTAAATGAAAATGAAAATAAACACATTTGGGGGTACTAATTTCGAAAATGGGCGTGCTAAGCATACCCAAGCCCCCTCACCCAAATCGCACCTATGTGCATGTAGTAATTATTTTTTGATAGTATTTTTTTTAGAAAATATTTAAATAATCAGCATGTTATGTAATCGTTCAGTTTTAATCGTATTTACTAATAAATCAATAATTCGAGGTCGAAAACATTAATTAGTAATGATATTTTACACGCCCGTTAATTTTATCGATTAACGAAACAATAATACAATTTTTAGAACTTTATGGAGACCGAAAATCAAAGTGGTGGTCAAACGGGAAGAGAGTGATAAATGGGATATATTCCCCTCACAACCTTTTTTTTTATTTCATTTTATTTTTAATAATATACTGTATGTAGTGTTTGGGCCACCAAACACGTAAGACTAATAATAATATTAATGACACACGCCACACATTCTACAAGCGTATCGGTAATGTATGATTTCGATTTGAAAAAACAAGTAAATACCAGATTGATAAATGACTGAGAGTCGACACCCGGAGTAGTACTAATATTTTCAAAAACATTACTTAGGCTCGTGTCATACACGCGCGCGTACCATACGTCGCGTTCTGAATTAAGTCGGGTCCACGCGCACCTTCGTGCAACGTTGCTGTAACATAGCTGCAACATTCTATCGCCTGCAAACATTCTCGCGAGAACAAGCGTCCATACCGCGCGTAGAAATGTATGTTGTATCAACATGATCATACGTTTTCCAGTTTTCGTCAATTTGCTTGTGTCGTTCAGAGAGTACAGTAGTTCGCTGTTGTTTTGTTCTGATTTTTTTTCTAAAATTAAAAAAAACCGTAAACGACGCCGATTTTGGGAGACTCCTGTTTTACAAAGTAAAAAAATTTATAGTGGTACACAATTACTAGCTGATTTTGATTTTTTTGTTAAAAAATAATGTACATTTACGTATTCACCGTAGCAGCAACAATGCGACACTGGTCATTTCTCGTCCAAACCAGATAAACAAAAAGCGCCAAACACCGCGCATTTCCCATAGTATCCCCAACAAACGAACATGCTTGTTCGTGCGCGGACTAAGTCCACACCAAACGCGCCGAACATGGTAGCAACATTGCATAACGTTTTGCGCATTTAGTGTGAACCCGGCTTACGTTGTATAAGTTAGCGGTTTCGCATGACGCGTAACACATACGCACGACGATAAGATTTTAATCAATTGGGTCAGTCTATACCAGTGCTTTTCAACCTTTTTCAAACTGCCGCCCCACTAAGAAGCAAAATGTTTTTCAACGCCCCTCTCTTCACTTTATTAAAATAAAAATAAAAATAGTATATATGAAATGTTTATAATTGAATAATAAATAATATAGATATAAATGTAAATATAATAAAAATAAAATGTAATATTAAGATATAAATTCAAAATTGTATTGTTAAATAATGTAGGCAGTCAAGTTGTTCTCGATATTTCTTGTTTTTCCTGTATTTATTTATTTACAATTTAGACGTGCTTAATTTTTAATATAAGAATAGATAGGTATAGGAACATTGATGTGACCTGCAATTAAAATTAATAGTTGAGTAATAGTAGTACTATAAGAAATTTAAAAATGTAATATAGGTGCCTAAACAATACATTAGGTAACTCTTTAATTAAAACACTCTTAAAACTTTTAACGCTTTTAAAACTATTTTTGATTATCCGAGTTTATTTAATAATAATTTTGTAGTCAGTGTAGTTGTGTACCAAAAAACGAAGAATAATATATATAATATACATAACTATATAAGTGAAGATAACTTAATATGAATGGGTTATTCCACTTTATTATTATTTGTACCAATATGACATACATACAAATTTAATGAAACTCTTAGTTATTTGATTAAATAATTTTTTATAGTTTTTTTTTTTTTAATTATCTTTGGTGTCGTTTTTTAAATTATTATTTTTATTAAAATAGAAGATACTAGATATTTCAACAGTCTGGAACATATTCTAGACAATTCATATATAGTGAATAATATTTCTTCAAGGAGAAAATAATGATTTAAATTTATTTACTACACTACACTACACGTTTATCAGAATTAGATTTTGGCTATGTTGTGACAAAGTCGGTGAAATATGAAGGTAATTATTAAAATAAGTATGAATGTTTAGATACTTATTTATTGAATTTTTAAAATATGAACCAATAATATTTAAATGTGTTGCGTGACAGGAGAAAAATCTAAGTACAGATTTTCGCTTGAGCATGAAGAGTTGCTAATTAAATTTATGGGCTGTCTATTTTTAATTAAACAGCACATTTATTTTGAATGTTTAAATGGATCTCATCACAAATCTAAAGTTCTGTGTAATTTATATCTTAATATTACGTTTTTTTTTTTTTTTTCATTTGCCTTTGTTCGCACATTACAGCAAAGCGATTACATAACGAAAATAACAATGGAATTAATTAGTGAATAATAAAAAAATTAACAATCATACCAATAAAATATATGTAGAACAATTTAATTAAATTAAGAAGCCAGCGGAATAAATGATATTAATGATGGAGTGGATAACAGGTATGAAACGAGAGTTAAGTAGAAGGTTGGTGTCGGGAGTGATATAACCAAAAGAAGATAGGAATGAGAAAAGGAGAAGTCGGTTGGGAAGGAAGGATGGACATCGAAAGATGATATGGTTAAAGTCGCAGACGGTGTCAACGTGATGTCGCATACAAAGAGGAGAAGAGTTTAAAGAAAGCTTAAAGGTATGGTGGGGAAGAAGACTGTGTCCTATTCGAAGGCGAGTGAAAGCGACGATCAATTTTCTAGATAACCCCAGGTCGTTGAACCATGGATGGTGAGGGATGTTTAGAACAATCTGTCTATGTCAAGCGCCATAGTTAGGTGAAAGAAAGAAAAATTTTGTTTGCCAAGCTTTTCGAAGGATTTGGCGGTGGATAGGGAGGAAATCGGAAGCTTGTATTTTACAGGAGGAAATATGATTGGTGTATTTTATTGAGAAAGCAAGATGATCTCTACGTTCATTGCCATCGATGCCTACATGGCTAGGAATCCAGAAAAAATTGACAATTTTATTCACAAGGCTGAGATGATAAACCAGGGATTTAATGATAAAAATAAGTAGGGATAAGGAAGAATTAAACGATTCAGAGGCGATAGCAAGTAAGCAAGATTGCGAATCAGATATAATCAAAAAATTATTAAACTCAAAGCTGAAAATAAATTCTAAAGCATTAATAATAGCATAACATTCAGTGGTGAAGGAAGAAGGAAGAGAGTTAATCTTACTGGAAAAGGAAATGTTGAGTGTGGGGATATAAAAGGAAAAACCAGCAGAACTAGTAGATACGGAACCATCAGTGAAAATTAATAAGGAGTTAGGAAAGTTGGAAAGCATAAATTCAACTAAGGTGTGAGGGAGACGCGATAATTCGCTAGATGAATAACCAAAAAAATTAGGAGTGACAATGATATCAGGTATAAATAAAACTGCAGAATAAAGGGTGTCATAAAATTGTTACCGCAAGCTAGAACTGTAGATGATAGAAGAAAAACTATGGAATGAATAGGCGACAGAAGCGAGATATATATAGACACATAGGTCCACGAAGATTTGATGGAAGCAAACAATTGAAAAATAGAAATTTTGGATGAAGATAGACATTTAAGTAAAAATTTACCAGCTAGTCGGCGGCTCCTCAATTAAACCGGAGGATAGACACATTCTACCTCTAGGCAAGCAAGAGGAGAGGAATGAAGGGCGCCGATAATGGTGCGAAGACAAGCAGAAAGAATGGAGTTAATTTTTTTCCTGTGTGAAAGGGAGGCCGAAGCAAAAAGAAAAGAACCGTGGTCTGATTTAGCTCTGATAACAGCATTAAAAATGTTTAAAAGACATGAAGGATGTGAGTCCCAACTAGATCCCACTGTAGCCCGAAGAAAGTTGGACCAGCGAAATAGAATGCCTTTAAGATATTGAAAATGAGGAATCCATCTAAGTTTGGAATTGAGCTTTAAATCTAAGTAGTTGACAGAAGAAGATGATTGAATGATATTATTATCTAGAACTAAATGTGGATGAATAGAAATTCGTTTACTGGTAAATATCATAATGTTGCTTTTCTGAGGAGCTATTGTGAAGAATGAAGAGGAAAGTTGAGAAGAGAGAAATTTTAAAGCGCTATTTAAAATATAGACGGATCTATCTAGATATTTGTCTGAAGAGAAAATAACTATGTCATCAGCAAACAAAAGAACTTTGAAATCAGGTGAAGCTAGAGACAAATATATGGGGGACATTTAAACATTGAAAAGAAGAGGACTTAGACAACTCCCTTGAAGTAAGCTCCTAAACGTTGAACTTCGTAAGATGATTCCCGATGGGGAGGAGAATTCAAGAAAACGATGAGAAAACAACGAAGAAATAAAGTTACAAACCGAATGAGGAATGTGAAGTGAAACGAGTTGAGAGATTAGAGTGGGGATGTGGAGGAATCAAACGCCCCTTTGATGTCTACAAAAGCGGCACACAAACATTTTTTATTGCAGAAAGTATCGTAAATTGGGCCCACAAGCGATAATAGACATTCCATTGTACCAATGCCACGTCGGAATCCAAATAAATTGTTAGGGATGAGATTATTCTTTTCTAAAAACCGATCAAGGCGTAATTTAATGATGTATTTGACTATTTTGCATTGGGGAGAGAATAAGGCAATGGGTCTAAATGTTGAAGGATAAGATTTGGGCTTAGGAATGGGAATAACATGATACAATGGTACAAATTTTAAATTAAGTACCTACTTTATAAAAGGAGAATCCGATCCGAACTATTGATAATGCGATTGTTGTTACATTTTCCAAAAAATAATTTATACAAATTTTTGTTAATTTTTGCAAAAAATTTAACTTAAAACTTTTTTAAAATGTTTTCGAGACGAGTATTATACAATGATTCAATTGATTACTATAATTAGAGAATGATGTATGAGAATTTTGGTTTTATTCTGTGTGGCATTGTGATATCAAACAATTTATAATTTTTGATATAATATTTTCTCAATTTTATCAATTCTATTGTGACTTAGAAAATCACAGTAGATTCTATGATATTATATGTTGTATATTATGATAAGATAATCTATGATACACATCAACTAAATAAACTTATATTTTTGTTAACAGATGAAATATTTACAACCAAATATAGAGTATTTAGATTATGGTACGAAATTGGCTTCATGCGAAACAACGGTGGGAAATATTATTAAAGAATTGTTAATTCAATTACCGACAATAACGGATAATATCAAATGCACAATTCCCACGTGTACGAAAAATAATCTTTTGTTTTCATCGTACATTACAATACTTGTAATGAATGGGAATTTAAATTTGTTGGAAGAAGACATTAAAGCTAGATTAATAGTTGAAACTTCCAAATGTCAAAATCGAGATCGAAAAGGAGTGAATTGCAATGGAATTAGAACAGTTGAACCAAGAGTTTCTGCAATACATTTATTTATTGAATTACTCAATTGGGAAGGTATTTTACTGTTACCCAAACATTTTCATATCATATAGTTATTTATAAAAATATTATTAAATGTAATTTTAGAGAATCCAACCGACCAAAATTTCGATTCCGAAGTGGCCCAACAAGTTTTGATAAATTTAGAAAATGTGCCTCGAATTGTAAATGTGAATAATGTCCAGTACCATCTTAGAGGAATATGTTCTCACGCGCATGGGGTAAACGGTCAAATAAACGATATAGGACATTACCGTGCCTATTGCAGAAGAAATGGTGGAAACTGGGAATTGTACGACGACCAACGACCTAAGTCCGTGCCGATAAATTCCAAAACTAAAGTTCCATGTGAACTATTAGTATATTCAATATAAATGGAACATGGTAAACTGCGGAAAAATTAACATTTTTTTAAAAGTCGATATGTAAGCTGCGGCAAAAGAAAAATTAAGGTTATACAATCTGTGACAAAACCGATAAGATACATTATACAAACTGCAGCAATTTATTATATATACCTTTATATATACTATATATACATACCATTACGATAACCTATATACACCTTTATCGTTTAATTAGGAATAATATGTATTATGACAGCTATTAGTTTAGAGAGACTTAAAGTATTAGGTATAAAAATAAATAAAGACCAATTTTTAAAATTGAAAAATATTATTATTATTAAAATTATTTTAAGATACCTTAATAGGACGTCACACCCATATGTGTTGTCTCCGTCTGACATACGTACAACATAGCAAATTTTCGTTCAGTGATTCAAATGTAGTGAAGTAAACTTTAATATTAGATTAAACTTACCTATAATCAAACTTTAAGGAAACAACATTATCTGTGTTTTGTTGGTCGGTTTTTTCCGATATTTTAATTTTTAAGCGTGTTATGAGTATGTAAAATATAACATTTAAGAAAACATCATAACTCGCTAAAAAATTAAAATATCCGAAAAAACCGACCAACAAAACACATATAATGTTGTTCCCTTAAAGGTTGATTATAGGTCAGTTTACTTTAATATTAAAGCTAACTTCACTACATTTGAATCACTGATCGCGAATTTGCTATGTTGTACGTATGTCAGACGGAGACAACACATGCAGATGTGACGTCCTCTTAATTAAACGATACACATACATAGGTATATATAGTTAGGTATATATGTATGAATTAGGTACGTTATGTTATCAGTTATGTACGTTATCAGTTATGTCGAAGATTGTAAAATCTTAATTTTTTTTTTTTGCTGCAGTTTACATATCGACTTTTAGAAAAAGGTTAATTTCACCGTAGTTTACATACAGCTCACATAATTCATTTGCATGCCACACTGTAATGGTGTAGTACATTTAAACTTCAATCATAAAAATATTTTGTAAATAAATGAACAATTCAAAGTCTCCGGCCACATAATTTTTTCTTTCTTTTCTGCGGCACTGGATACATTATTATAGAAGTTTTTTTCAAAATGAAAATGCATCAATAATGATTATATCGCTTCGGGGTTTTGGAGAGAAGAGCTTTTATTGTTTTAAAATAAACGTAAAAATGTCAAATATTTAAATTTTTGTACGCAAATTAATTAAAAAAAAAAAAATAAAGTGGTCATTATAAAAAAAATCCCAAGTAAATCAGAATTTTCTGCTGAAGTTTGATCACAAATCTGCACAAACGTGGAATAAACGAACAGATCAATAAGAAATAAAAAATTGGTTGGTGGGGAGGCTAAGTCCTTAGGCCCCTCCCTCCTTCAATGTTTAACATCTCGGAAATGGATTAAGCACAAACAACGGGAATAAAAGCACAACAAGCACAAATGAAGCACCAAAGACTGTAAAAATTTGAACTCGAAAGTCCGAGGGGGGGGGAGGGAGATGGGGACATGCAGCTAATATTTCGATTCATAGATAAATAATAGTACGTATGTCGGAGTAAAGATAAGGAAGTGTTAATCCATAATAATTATGATAACATTACTAGAACTTTTAATCAAGAAGAATGAGATTTTAAAGAGTCATGGTTCATAATTTACGTTAAGAAAAATAACACAAAAGATTAACGACCGAAAGGATGTTTGTATTTTACAAAATTCTATACATATTGCGGAAGACATTTAATAAATAAATATAATCTACAATAGAATAATAATAATAAGAGTATTGTACATAAATTGATTGTTTTAATAATTAGGAAATAAGGTACCTAAATGTAAAATGTAATGGCCAAAGATCACAATGAACGAATCAAACAGTCAATTACTGTTTATCCAAAATTCTCAAAGTGATGAATGAAGTACGGCAACTTTCTGCCTTTGTTAACTTCTTCGCATGCTGTCATCACGCTCTTCGTCAGCGGCCTCGGTCCGCAGCTGAACACTCCTATCTTGCTGACCTGTAAAGAGCGAATTAAAAGTTACTGTGCAATGATCACAACTGAGACCGCGTATTAATGAACTGTGGTGAACTTACGTAGCTATGTTTTTTCTGAACGAATTTTAAAAACGACGACATATCCGGTCTACCGAAATGGTTCACCGCTTTCAGTCCGGTAAACATGCTCATTTTGCTCAGTCGTTGGAAATGATTTTCACAAATGTACTATATACAAACAAAACGCGATAACCGCATACATTTTAGACATCGCACTTAACAGTTATTTACGGACTCTGTTATGTATTATACGTACCAACATGGTAGTCCGCAAGTCGAACTTGTGGAAGAATTGAGTGATGAATATATGTATTTCTAAAACATTAGTCACGTCTTTTCTCTCAACATCTCGTAGGACGTCAATGAACCATTCGAAATGTTTGTGCGACGGGCATATCCACATAAAGTACACCTGATTAATATAACAAAAAATACGGCACAAAGTTATAACCTTTGATCTTAAATAAACAACAGGTTTTAAGGAACAGTAATTAAAACATGCTGCGTACTTACTTTTTTACAAGATACGCCGGAATAACGGTTTGTCGACGTTCCGAACACCAAATCGTTCAGAATGGAAGCATAAGGAGTAACTCCTATACCCCCTCCAACCATGACTGCCACTTCGAACTTGTACCAGTCTTGATTCCCACCCCCGAACGGTCCTTCGAGACGTATCTAAAAACACAACCGTTATTATTCCTAGTGCGCTAAGCTATCCCGGTGGTGCGGGTGTCAAACCGTTACTATGCGCCATACCTTTGGTTGATGGAATTCCGGATTGATGTTGCTAGGATCGAAGAAATTTCTCAATTTCCATGTCCACTGTCCTTGCGCTTTGATGTGGCAAGACAAGAAATTCTCGTGCGGTGCCGAGGTCAGCGTGAATGAATGGTATTCCGTAGACTTAAGAGCAGTACAGTTCAAACGAACCCACTGCCCAGAAAGGTATTTGAAGTTTGGCGGACGGTAGAATTTCACTTTGAGCACGTCGGACGGTAGCAGTTCGGTTTCAAGTATGTCCAAGGCCATATATTTAGTCCTCAAACTTACCACCTTATCCAAAATGAATATGATTCCTGGGCCTATGAAGTATTTCCAGAATTTTGGTGGTCCGGTTATTCTTGCTAGCCCGTGTAATAACATCAACACGTACATCGCTACATACAAACAGTGAGTGGACCAGAAGTATGTGTAGGCCTTTTTCCGTATGATTGGATGTGCGAATGTAAATATGATGATCATGATCACGAACAGTAACACGCCAGTAATACCTAAATTGGAATAATCAAGTTTTTAATGGAGTAGTACATGTAGAATATTTAGCGTTTGTTTTACACTAGAGAAGTTCATAGGAAATATTCGATAAGATTGATCGGTTATTGATCACGATTGGGAATCATATCAGGCACGTACCTGTGATAGTCTTAAAAAGCCAAAACGATATGCCCGGCTTGTAGTCTGATGGGAAGTGTATTTCGGATGTTAGACAATGCAGGTTTTCCAACGGTTGAGTGGACACGTGGTAGAAATTGATTATGTGACCAACGGTGTGTATGATGGAAAAGAAGAACGCCGTGCAAGCGATAACTTTGTGGAATGGTATGTGAGAATCCAACGGTATATATTGCTGTATTGAAAAATCTTTTAGTTTCGTTAGCAAATTTCTTGACATGGTGAGTAACAGCAGACAATATCCAAACGACAGAGAGGCGGCAGATCCTCGAGTTATCGCTATGCCTACTCCCATTATGTGCCGCAAATCGGTGTGCTCGGTCAAAAACGAATAATCTACAAGTTAACGTTTATAAACAGGACCACATTGAAATCGGTGTGAAAAATCAAGTTGAAATAAAAAATAAATAAATAAACGGAACCCTTACATATAAATTGATTGACAAACAGTGCAATGGTTATGACGTAGAACACGAACAGATAAAAAATATTTTGTCTGTTTTCCTCCAAGTAAGTGACTATACAATCTATACGACTTTTGATTTTGCCCTTATCGTCGTGGAGCGACTGATCGACATGAAAACTAGTCATTCTATAGTGTAAATCAATTTAAATATAACAAGTATAAATTATGAATTATTTACAATACTGGTCTTAAATGTTTGCTTGACTTTAAGCAGATATTACTTACCTCGCTACGTTTGTTGACGTATCTAAGAAATTTTGTTTCGCACCCTTACAGTCCAGACCAATGGCGACAAAGTCACCTTTGTACTCTTTCATCATCAGTTTAAAATCTGCATACGTCATGAAGTCTTTATTTGACAATCCAACGTTCTATACGACGATTAAGTAAAATTTATTATTACTAATTTGTGAAGAAATTATTATTAGAATTAGTATATTAGTACTTGGAACATTCCGTCGATTAATTCAGTGACGTGAGCATCAGACAAACTTGTGGTACGAGCAATTTCGACTAGAGATCTTAGCATTTCGGAAAACTCTCCTTTATCAATGACTCCATTACGATCGTTGTCACACATATCGAAAATAATTCGTAGTTTGTCTTCTGTTTTGCCACGAGAGAACAATACAACAGTATCCAGGAATTCCTAATTTTTTTCAAAAAATGTATACAAATAATTATTAAACGTTTACATTTGGTCGGTATTACTTATATTTTAATGATCACGAGATATTCACGTGAGTCGCTAAATGTGAATTTTAGCTTTTATTTTTAAAATATTTCATATTTAATATCAAATATTTTCAAATTAAATTGTTCAAAGGAACACGAATTTATAATACCGGCTATGTTGATGACCAAATTTATTTTACAAATAAAATTTTTAATATTTACTAGAAAATTGTGAATAATTCTACAAAAATATTTTCTTTGATATAAAAATGAAATTAAATAAATTTGCAATTTTGTATGGAACATTAACTAGAGCTAGGATTTTAATGCTCTTAAAAATACATAAATACTCTAAAAAATGAAGAAATTAAATTGAAAATTATCATAAAATGCAAAATTAAATTTCTTATATTCTTTTAAAAGTACATGAAACGAATTTATGACCGTACGAGCATCGTACAGCAAGCTTTGAAAAAAATACTAAATGCATCGAAATCCCAGCTCTATTACCGATATCGTAGTATTTAGATGGTAAAACGATATTGTTTCATATGGGCGGTATTCCCGTCACTTTTTAACGTGATTGAACACATTAGTATTGATACAACATATTAAGAAATTTATATTTTATGTTAAAAAATGCGCGAACCTGGAACGATATCCTGCCATCGCTGTCCTTGTCCACGATGTTGAACATCATCCGGACGAACACCGCATCGGGTTTCATGCCCAGCGCGGAGGCGAATTCGGCTTTCGACAGAGATGTCCTCATCACCACCTATATACACACACAAAAACATGCGTATTAACACCAATGTTATCGTTGTGACGTGTTAACGCTCCCCACGTATTTTAGCCGTAGCCGAGTACATTCTCGTCAGACGGTTATTATAACCGTTATCTGTTCTTATAACGAACCATCGTTTACCTCTCCGTCTTCGTCGCCTCTCCTCCGTTCACCAGGACGTAGTCCAAACGTGAGCGCGTATGCCTCTCTGAAGAAATGTTCCAATCTTTTCTGTCTTCTCTCCCGTGTCTCGGCCTGAGCCAACAGGAAGTCCCTGGGCGCTTGCAACGTAACCAAATGTTTCTTGTGCAAGTTTAAGAATGCTTCCATTTTGTTGATGAATTTACGTCTTTCGCTAACCGAGTCGAATTCGAGTACCAGGTCGTGGTCCTTCGGAACTCTGATCAAAACCAATGGACGTTTCTTTTTACTGCCGTCTACCTGTATACAATATAATATATGAGTACGTTAATATAATTCAGGCTTAATATTCGTGAGCCGAACAACGCTTTAAACATAACTACACGAGTGTAATAAACATTTTTTCAAATACTTCGAGGTTTCGAATTTCGAGAACTCTTCTGAAATCACCGTACGGAAAAATATAGGGAAATAAACAAAAAAAAGAATACGCCTTAACTGAACTGGTTGTACTCGGTCTTTGTTTTAACTGTGATTTTATAAAATAACAAAAGACGTTATACGACGAACGAATTAGATAATTACAAACAGTAATTAAAGCTTACGTTAATACTGCTCAAATAACAAAAGTTAAATTGTCAGCACCATTCGATTAACAAATGAGGGAATATTCGATTTATTTATTAGTTCAATATATTATACCTGTGACTCCTCGACGGTTATCGTGTCGCAATTGGCGAAATTTACTGATCTTAGTTTTTCGCCTTTCCGGTCCACCGTGTGCATTTCTGCTTGAGGGCCGAATCTCACCTTAACCAAACGTCTGTGGTTCGCGTGCAACCATTCTCTCACGGACATCTTCTCTACCATTATACCATTCGATTTGTTTCCCGATTTTAATTCTTCTTGTTTCATCCTTAAATGTCTCTTGCGCTTGTTCTGCAGTTTAACAACACCATAACCGGCTCCAGCACAGATAAGCGGAACTACTCCCAAAAATATACACACATAAATGTACACTAGTTCGTTCCCCTGCAATTATTAATAATTTATTAAATTAATAAGATATCACAATCTCTATAATGTTTGCAATAAAGTTTTGGTCTAGGCTATAAAAGAAAAGAATATTTCGTTTAAAATTCGTTAATCCATTAATTATCATAATCATGTAAACTAATATTTAAATATACACACATACACACACACACACACACACACACACACATATATATATATATATATATATATTGGATATATTATCTATTGATTTATATAAATTAAAAATAATGTTACTAAATACATGTAGACATACAAACATAAATCGTATCGAGATTATAGTTTCGTAATCAAATTTAATATGTATTTATATTTATATGCACATTTATTTGAGTTCACATCTATATAAGTTTTACATTTTATATAGTAGAACATTATACTTTTTATATGGGTTAATTTGATTTAAGAGTATTCATGTATGCATGGGATCGAATCGATCGATCGATAATAAATTGATAATTAATAAAAAGTGGGCGTAGTACACAATAAGCACGGTACGTTTTAAATTTATATGTTCAATAACACGATATAGGTTACCTCAAAATAATCGAATCCTTTCAGGTACGAACAGGGTTCTAACATGTCTGGTTTTATTTGATGTGGCTGAGGGCAAGGATCTGTTTCATTGAAGAAGAAAACGTTTCGTTGTATCCTATCCGCTCTCACGTTGGTACAGTTCACGATTACATCCCACAGAGTGACGCGTTTGATCCATTTGAGGTCTTCGTTCGTGAACATATCGAATACATAATAAAAATAATAATAATGACAGTAATAATAATTAAGTTTGTTAAACGTTTCTACATATCGTTAGCGCCGGGCACGATTATGTACTATGTACACTCACTCGTTTTTTATCATTTTCAAACCAGAATCTATCGGCCTCTCTGATCCGAATGAACTGATCCATAATGATGGCAGAAAATAATTCCCCGGGTCCGTCTTTCGACTCCAACATGCCACCGATGTACAGATCGATGTTATCAATGGAGCCGTACGCTTCTTCTAAACTGTTCAGCAAATCCGCGTTCTTCTCGAACAGTTTAGGGTTAATGTCTTTAAACTGTTTGACGCGGGGAAGATTGAAATACGTTCTAATCTAAGATGCATAATCGATTAGGTTAGGTTAGGTTAATCACGAGCAAACAGCGTTTTCGTCGAAACTACCGTATTGTAATCTGCCAGCCCGTTGTCCCGCCCTCTCATGATGTTAAGGGCGCCCAGATCTCTCCGCGAAAACTCGTTGGGTCCGAATAGACTGTCACGGACGTCTGAACAAAGAACGGCATCTTCGCGTTCGGCCAACTGCGAGGCCATACCCAGCAAAAACTCCTTCACGCTGTTGTCGTCAAAAATTACTTTCTGCACAAAAGTAAACGAACATGTACACTGCCGTTATTATTGTTGAACATTACTGTATACTATATAAATATATACATGTAACTATTTTTCAATGATAACTATTAATATTTTATGATCATTGGTATTTAAAATTTGATATAACTTCAAAAAAATGAATTATAAATTTTAATTTTAATAATTTATTTACATTTATTATAATATAATATTTTAATGTAAAACATTATGACAAAATTAATTCAGTACTGAAGTAGGTTAATGTATACATTATGTTTTATAGATGTTTTATAGCTTGATTAAAAAATTATAATTGTATTCAACGAATAATTGTCATTAACGTATTTCATAATAATGTCCAATCGACTCCAACTTATTTTATTACATTTTAAATATATATATATATCAGTATCTAAAATACAATATTTGGAATCTATATTTTATAATAAACCAGAAAAATCAGATTTATATTATATTCTTATTAGTTATTGGTATTTACTTATTATGTATAATATATTAAATACGTACAACTGGATGGAAAAAAATTATATTGTTCGTAAATGTTTACAATAGGATACTAAACATTCACCACGAACAAAATATGAAACTATTACCATTAATTAAATACACATTAAGTATACTTAATCAATGATATTACTACGATTTAATATCCAATATTTGCTCTAAAAATAATCGTATACAATCGCCATCGGTCCGTGGTGTAATAAAATATGAATCACGAGAAATGTATATTTATAACGGCTTAAATGGTTAGGCGAGGAAAGTTTGTTTCATAATTATTATAGCGCTTAAAAATCGTCTGCTTCAACATATTTCCTAAAAATTCACCGGAACGCTTAATTGTTAGGTCAAAACAATCGCCCACATTAAACATTACCAATTTATCATAAATGTATAAAATAACTTATAATAATATTATTTTATAATTATTAGATATTTCATCTCATCCGCGGTCGAATGTAGCAGACAGTTCCGATAAATACTATTTTACGAATAAGGATAGTTAACGATAGATTAAACTTTATCGAATATCAACAGTTAATTATTTGTACAACTGATTATTAACTGTACGCGATGCTCGAAACGGTGAAGGGGTAGTGCCCCGTACGTTTTTTTTTTTTTGGAACTTCAAACCACGCGCAATGCGTATGCTTAGTAAACGTAGGCAGCGATACGTATTATCATTGATTATAGAATATAATTATTCTATAACCAATGGTTTTAAGTGTACAAGTATATCATATTCACTCACGCTGGAATCCCACCAATGCGCGCAAAGCCTCCAAGCCGGTTTCCCTCCGTTGGTTTTCTTGAAGTCGCACGTCTCGTCCCTTCTATATATGCCGGGCGGGATCAGCGTGTGTCCAAACCGGAAAGCCGACGACTGGAACACGTGGCTGACGCCGGGGTGCACGTCTACCTTGTAGCCCGTGTACGGCGGCAGCTTTTTCCCCAGGAACGCGGGTATGTACTCGTAGGCTGTGATTTTCTGGAGGACGAAAGGAATGAATAGAATACATATCCGTGCGTTGTTGGTCGCGGCCACTACGTAATGCTAGCGTAGTGCACGCGGCTCATGATGCGTTACCTGCAAAGTGGCTATCACGAGCCGTCTCGTTTTCTGAAACACTTCCTCGTCCGACCATTCCGGGTTGTCCTTCTGCACGCGGCTCGCGATCAGGTTGTGCCATTTGAAGAACAACACGCCGAACGACAGCAAGGCTGGATTCTGATTGATCCTGGGATCGCCCAGCACTGCAACACGGTAAAACGGTAAATATCGTACGGCCGAGAAGAGAACAGTGGTGCAGGTCGACGGTAGGCAGATCGACCGACCGACGCGCGTGGCGCGTTTCAAAGATGTGCACTTCTTCGCACACGCGTCTTCGGCGAAAACAACCCGTTCGTTATAACTCACGGAAAAGCCGTTCCGGGCTCAACGTGCGCAGCATGTTCGGAATGGGGTTGTTGAACAGCGGCACTCGCATGGTGTTCTTCACCGGGAACCCCGTCGCGTCGCTCTTCAGTGTGCCGTTTTCAAACGATCTCATGGCGTTTATCCACGCCTCGCTGGTACTGTAAATGAAACTGCCGTCGATCCAACTGGTGACGCGGTTTATCTGTATATGCGTATGGTTTTTTTATTTATTATCATTATTATTATTATTTTTTGCTATCAGTGTTTTCTAACCGAAAACTTATACCAAGGTAGTGATGGGAAAAATCCGGATTCGCTGAAGTTTGAAAATCCGAATTTTACTGTAAACCCGGATTTCGGATTCTAAAATCCGGATTTTGGATTGGAAAACATTGAATTAGAATTTTTTCAAGAACTATTTATAGTAAATACAAAATAATTAAACAACCTCAAAATTAAATGATATTTTGACTTAAACTAATTAATAATCTCATATACAAGTTTTTGTGTAATATTAAAATATAAATCGAATATCATAAAATAAATTTTAGTTATTATTAGTTGTATCTTCAAAAATAATGGTACGTAAGACTTTAAGTGTTTACTAATTATTAAGATATCTTATTTAGATAATCATCTTGTTCGAGAATTAAAATAACGACTGAAAAGTGATGTAATTAAAGTTATATGATTAGAATACAGAAATTTGCAATAATAAACCCTAATCTCAGATTTTTAAATTTAAAAATCCGAATTTGGCAGATTTTCGAAGAATCCGGATTTCATTCCCATCACTACTAGGTACATTCATAGGCGGAAATCAATGGAAGAAATAGGAAGGGGTGTTACGATATTTTTTTTTTTTAAGTTTGAAACAATAAATTTTGTATACTTTTGTAACAATTTTTTAGGGGGGTTGGTAGGACTTTAGGGAGGCTAGGCCCTCCTCCTCCGATTTTCACCAATGGGTTCGGGTCAACCAAGTCGCGAGGTGCGTGTGTAATATCCACGACGACACCGCGACGGGTCGACCGACTGCTGTAGCCTACCTGTTGCCTGGGCGCGTTTGGACTTTGACCAGTGTTCCGGTCGTAACCAGCTCGGTGGAACGGTATCGATTTACCGCCTTCGCACTCGTGATCGTACATCTCGTCACACTTTTCGATTTCAATTGGATGCACTTCTATCGGACAACCGCTTTCGCTGCCCATTACGATTTCGGAGCTCACGACTTGACCTGTGCCGGATTAAACACCACGTATGCATTACAATTACATATACCTGTATAATATATTTATATATTACCCGGTATCTTAGTTTTATTTTAGTTTCGAATTTTCACTAAGGTGTATTTTTATGTATTACGAAAACCGCTCATTTTCTGTTTTACTGTTTAAAATTAGTTCGATTTATATGTACCTACTGTTACGGTTGCTTTATGCAAGCCTAACACTTCTTCGTTTTTTAGTCAAATCGGCTCGTGTGTCGAATATATTATTGTACGATGACGGGGGAGGGGGGGGGAGATATCGCTTACAACGTCAACGGTCAATTTGACGCATAGAACAAGAGTTGAAAAATTACCATCTTGTGCGAGTTACTTATAATCCACACAATATCTAATACGTCGTGTGTGTCATTTCCGCCTGTCATTCAGACCACTATTGTTCAACGATGTGGTCCAATAATCAAATGTATACATTTAATTTACTATATTTTATATTTAAGTAATAGACACCATTGTATTGCTCATTTGAGAACTAATATTAATAATATTAATCAGAGAACTTTAGAGTGTCTAAAGCAGAAATAGTCTAGCAAGCTATATCTTAGGGATTTCACTACACAATTCTATCGGCCGAATTAGCTATTCTTAATTTCTTTATTTCTTTTTCACATTATAGAACTACTATAATGTATTAATAATATATCTATTATTTTTCTTATAGTAAAATGTATAAATGTTCTTTTTATTTGTTTTGTGATAAGTCCTATAAATATGATTTAAATACACATTCTCTATTCGTACCGAAAAATGCCAACATTGCTGTTCTGTTCCTCCTCGACGGCTGGCCGTCCGTTCCATTCATGAACAACGTGCTCAATATCCTCGGACTGGGCCTGTCCATGCCAGACATCATGTACACCCCGTCCGAATAATTGGCCGGTGTTTTCCTGGTCATTTGACTGTCTGTAAGAAAACAATAACGATGGGATTAGTTTTGGTTTTTCGAAAATATTTGCGTGTGAATAATCGTTAAGTACAAATGAATTATCATTATTAATATGTACGTAAAAGGTAAACACTCTAGTTCTAGACTTGACCGAGGCCGTTCTATTCATAAATTCGACTATACAGGGCGAAGGCGCGGCAAATCAACAGGCCATTGTTTGCTTGACTTGAATAATGTATAGTATAACGGTTGCAACAAAAGAATGCGCACAAATGACAAGAGAGATCCAGTTCAAGTGCCCGTTTTAACCTTATGCCTTATTCGATCATTGGGTTTATGTGCGATCGTGGTCTTAAAAGTAATAATGTAATTGCGCAACTTTACATTCGGAAAGTATCGTAAACATTATGAAAAGTATTTTATCAATTAATAGCTAATTCTCCTATGGTGTGTGTGTGTGTAGAATAATATGTACCAACGGCTCATTGACATACATATGTATATAATATACGTACAAGTGCAATCAAATTGTTTAATAGTTCTGTTATTTTCACTGCGCCCATTATATGTGCCACTACACTCTAGTGAGTTTATTATAATATTTACCGTTCACCATACACGCCGCGTTTCGAGTGTGTTAATTTTGAACTTTTTTGTTTTTTTATTCAGCATACAGAAATATGCGATTCGGTTTTATAATAATTCTTTCATTTTTAAGTATTTGTCCACAAAAATAAATATACAGGCTTCTGAGTTAAATTTATATAATAGAAAACAAAATACATCTCTGAATGAAATCAGTTCAATCGCTTTACGGCTGTGGAGGCCAAACTATCATCACGATCTTTACACTAATTTATAAATGGAATAAAAAAAGTAACAAGAAAATAATAGCATCCATTTGTTATTTGGGTGCAAACAGGTGATCACGATTATTTTGTCTGTTTTCTGCATTACAAGGTGGTGTATATAGTTACATCATTGCAAGGCAATGCAATTCAATGATATTTTTTGCTCATAATTTATTTACGACACATAAAGTTTATTTATACACATCATACAGTGGCGGTGTGTACATGCAGTGTGGCTGGTAAAAGAAAAAAAATTATTTAGGGTAAAAGTGATCGCCTTGAGAAAAAATTTTTTGGGTGCGTATTGCAAGAAGTTCAAATTGTCCTTGGAAGTTTAGGTTGTTTACGAGTATATATATACCTAACCTACACGATAAATCAAATGTATATAAAAGCAATTTATATATAATATATATAATAATTAATTTATCATTGTTATTAATCAAATACAAATTATTTTTTTATTCCAAAAATATGTGCCATTTGAAACGCAATGGTGAAGGAAACGACTTTCGACATGGTGTGGACATCCAGAGAGTTAATGACTACGCGCGCTCGACTTAAATGAAATCCGACAAGGTCTCATGCAAATGCAGAAAAAAAATAAGATATAGCGAACAAGTCGACTACATTTGGAGACAGATAACAACATAATGTATAACTGTATGCTTATGGAAACTTCAAAATAGTCCAAACGTAAAAAAAATTATGACAGACGTGCGAAAAATGTCTCCTGCACGAGGCACATATTGTGTGTACAGTGAACCTGTCGACCACGAGGTCACCGTGTATAAATGTAGTGCATTATCTGCATAAAGTATACGAGGCCGATTTTCGTACGACGTTAATGCCTCGGGTATCGATCGAGATGAGAAACTAATTTCACATTTGGGCGGTGACTTTGTTGTCAGTCTGCGGTATGTTTGCAAGTACACGCGCGTTACGATCGGATATACGTATAACAGTTATAGTCGTGACATTGGACCAAAAGCAAGCTATATGGCTGAGCGTGCAGAGAAGTTGACACTGTGGCAGTGAATAAGCGCGCCTGTGATTCAGTTACAGTACGACTATTTCGCATTCAAAACCATTTGGGTGGAATGTGTTGTCCAGCGAGTTTTTACGAACATATGTATGTACTATATATTTAGATGCTAATTATTTTGCATATTTATTTATAATATGATCCATAAAAACGCGCATGGCCGATCGATATGTTATTAACTTGTGTAACAATCAAACACGCACACACACACATACACACACAAGCACATTCACCGGAGGACCTTGGCAAGATCGAACCAAATTGACCGTTGTTAACGAGGGCGAATTTATCGTTGGTGACTCGTGTTCTACCTAAACGCCTTATTACAAATCGCCCGTGTAAGATTTCCGCACACGCGGATATGACGATATAATATAATTAATCACACGTTTATTATGATAAAAATATATCCATGAGTGCGTGTGTGAATGAGTGTAAGATTTTAACTATATATGTGGTATCATACAAAATCATATCAGAGACATTATATCGATAATATAAGTTACCGTACTTTCAGGTATTCAATTGCGTTTGTTTCTTTTTAAACGGTTTTTTTTTTTATTCTTAATAGCCGAAGACTTAAGCGTTGACACGATTTACTATAACTTATGATAATATACATAATTTATAAGCAAAATAAATATATTTATATAATATACGTGATGTACTACAGCAATCCTATTACCGTCCAAGATAGTGATTTATGTATTCCGATATCGAAATAAATTGCTTTTATAAATAGTATAAGAGTATAATATGACTAATACATGCACACTTGCAGTAGTGATAGGAAAGTGAAAATTGATTTATATACTGAATTAATGTGTATCGCAATTTAAACGTAACATCGGACGCCGCACGCGCTACGATGAGATGTTGACCGACGGCTAAAATGGTTTCAAAATTCTATAAAATATATTGCGATTCGCATTAAATTGAGGGATGAAATAGGATACCGCGACATCGTTGGACCACGATATCGAACGTCTCGGTATTTGACCTGCTTGTATGTACATAGTTTATTCGTATCGGTGGCTGCGCTTTCATAAATAATTATACACCAAAGAGTAAAAAGACGTGAGCTGTGTGTTTAAATCTTCGTGTCGATACACAATACGTTGGAAATGAACCGCATCTATCTGCTACAGATATTAATCGTTTTGAACCATTTCGATCGCTCAATAATATCAATAAAACAAATTTAAAATCATAATACAATAAATAATTCAAATGAAAAAATATAAAGTTTTTTTTTTTATTTCACTTATTCAAAGATATGCACTAATTATTTTAAAGATTATTGAAGGCACTCAAAGTATTGGTTCAAATTTCGTATAAGAAAATCAAAAATATTTAACATATTCGCACATAGTAATAACGTATGCAAAGCCTGTTGGACGTCGTGAGTGTATTATTATACCTACAAACCGATTTTATCTCGTACAGTTTTTATCATAGTCGTCTATATATACATTACTGATACATTTTATAGATTTAAACACGTATTTATACGAACCATGGTCCTCAACAAAATCAGCAATATCTATTTCTAACTACATCTCTTAAAAATGATTTATCAATGGTTTGATATTGGTCTGCTGTAAACAATACATTAGCTGTATACCATTCGATGTATAAATTTATCAATTTAATTAATAATAATGTTTGAATTTAATTGAATTCTGATTCGATAGTACAGTTCAGTTTGAGAACCACTACTATACGGGAAACTCGCATCGTGTGTGTTATGTCCGATTGCCGATCATGACATTATCAGTGGAGGAAAAGTCTGAAGACGACTACGCCACACCCACAGCACGCGATTTTGTGTCATCTATATTATGGTACAGTACCTATATGCAACGGTGGCAATTTGTATGCGTACACACTATAGTTACTCGCGAAATTGCGTCCATTCGTTATGTATACCTCTAAAAGAAGACAATTGGTCTGTCGAAAACGGAATGCACGACACGCATTATAAGTTGCGCGCTATGTTTGTAGAAGGTATGATTCTATTGTGTTAGTTTTTCACGTTGAATGTTGACGACGTTTATCGATTTTTATTTCGTCTCATCTCGAAGAAAGACTTGTTCAAAATAATCGTTCATTGTTATATTACCTACGCACAATATTCGGTGTCACTGCGAACGTTTATAACCTGAGTGTAATCTACCTAATGTGTAATATTGCTGCAGATATTATCTCATTATACATTTATGAAATATCTGGATATAATTTTGTAGATTTGTTGCAGTTTCTTTAGAGATTTAACATAGCGATGTGAATATATTACTATAGTTTTTGACCGATTAGTTTAATTAAATTTGTAATGTTTTTTAAAAAGTTTTTTTTTTCGAGTTAAACGAACGGCCTCGAAACGTATCAAACTAACACATAAATTATCATAAATTATCACAAGATATACAATAAAATAAAAATATTGTAGATAGGAATAAATAACTGATATTGAATCCTATTATCGTTACCTGACATTGTATGATAATACATAAAAACATTCGGAATGGCCTTTCGAGCGGCTCTATCAAAATTTTCATTATGGAATCAAGCGTTCAAGTCCTACCCAAAAGTTTGACGAGTAATGATTCGATGGACTTATATTAAAAATACGACAAAATTCGATACACGTAGTTGGATATAAATTAATTGTGGAGTAAGAAACACTAAGATTTATTAATAATAATTTTAAAATCTGCTAGATTGTATACAGCTGGTATAATGGGTGTGGTAATGAGTATACATGTATGTTTTTCGTGTTCTTATTGTATTATGTGTGTAGAGGGATGAAATAATATTATTATGTGGGAGCTGTAGCGTGGCGATCGTAAAATTTATCGTCGTGACTTACGCCTACACTAAATTGTGTATCTAATATATTAAAAACAGTGAGCGATTGTTTTAGTGTTCGGATCATCCATCATAGATTTTATAAAATATACATATATCCAAGTATATATTGCGTATATGAATACATTTTACATCATTACACATAATAGTATACATTTATGAATATAAACGCAAATAAATGAATAGGTACCTATATCCGCACGCCGTATATAGGATAATTGGTAATTTTTTATCATTGTGTGTTTAACGATTG